ATACACAACAGAACAAATTTTTTTTTTCTAAATGCCATAGTTATAAAATCACTTCAGACAAAATATGTGGGACTTTCACAAGATTGTATGTATGACTGTTGTGCAAAATTTGCATAAATCTATATTAGACTAGGAAAAATTTCTTACTACTTTGCTAATATAAAAAACTGTTAAAATTTGTTGCTTTGTATTAAAATTAATTTGACTCTAAAGGATTATAAGATAAGAGAAAATGTGACTAGGAAAGAAAAACAAAAAGCAAACAAAGAGTAGTAATTTTACAGCATCATTCTTCTAAAACCCAGACAATTACATTAACTCAAAATGGCTTTACCTGAGTGAATAAAAACAAAATCAGATCATATAATCATTGTAAGATATAGTAAAATATGTTATAATTACTACTGACTCTTACCTTGGGCTAAACATTATATTGTAAACAAATTTCTTAAAGATGATAATAATTTGAATCACCTAACTGCTTAGTAACTAACATCTTGAAGTGCCGATCAAGGTAAAAGTAGGAAATACCTGTTATTCCATTTTGTGATGTGTCATGTCAAGGAATGCTGTACAGCTTAACAATGGATATTCTGAATAAACTATGAGTATTCTGGAAAATGGATAATTATTAAACCTGGCTAAAAGCATTAAACTTTAAATACTATAGTTGAAGTGTGTTGTGTAGAACACTTTTGCACTTGCATGTTGATCTGACAAATATAATTTATGTGGCAGCAAAGGTATAGTGATAACTGATTTCTGGTTTTATGTTCTATTAGATATACATACATTTTCCTGAAATGTTTAGCTGCCATGGAGAAGTTTTTAACAAAAGCTTCACAAGTTGATTTCTTTGTCTTCTTTCATTTAAGTAATTGAGGAAAAATGGCTTTGGATTTTTATTGTTTTTTGCAGTGTGTGAATATTTCTACAAAAATATTCTTGATGAAGACTTTTCTTTTTTCTTACATAGAAATATTAAAGGACTTTGGCAATGAAGAAGAGCCAGAGCTTTGCTATTTTGTATTTTCTGCTCTTGACTACTGTACAGCCTGTAGTGAGACATTGTAGGTCACTCTGGTGCAGGTCTGGACTAGGCAGGAGTAATCTTTGCTGTCTGATTTACAGTGTTTCTCTGAGTAAACTAAAAATATGCAAAAGCTGACTGTTGGGGGCATAAACAAACTGAGATCATGATTTTTTTCTGCCATGGTGATATCACCTGGGCATGTGGAGTTTTCATGTCCCAAGTCAGAAACTTGTGTGGCTTTGGCTTTGGCTGTGAACACAGCTCTTGTTATTCATACCCCATCAAGACACGAATTTTCCAGGCACAATTACAGTGACATGATTCTGGAGACAGTGCCAACACAGGGTAAAAATCAGCACCTGCTGTCACAGCTTTGCAGTCTGAACATACAAAACACAGAGAAGCTGAAGGCACAGAAAGGTGTAAAGATTCATCCAAGGTGAAGCAACTATGCCTTATGTTGTGGGTTGAGGACAAGCCTCAGACCAGGCTGTGGCTTATTTAGTCTTCTGCCTCTTTGTAATCACATCCAAATTTGTGAAAAATTAAACATTCATGTCAGCTGCTGAATAATGACTGAAAAGTGTGCAGAATAATTTTGTAGGGAATTACCTTTACAACAGTGGTTTAAATCAACTTCAGAAAGTCTACAATAAACTGTGAGAGTGAGGAGCCAGAGCAGCTGTTGTTCACAGGTTCTTTCTCAGGGCTTGCTAGCTCTCCCCATCACCCCATTTATCCCAACATGAGTTAAAACTCAGGCACATCCAATCACCTGCTACCTGAAGCAAGAAGACCACCTGTGAAGTGTTACAGCTTGATAAAACTAACAGTATGGATGGTTTAGAACCAAATTTGCAGTATAAACTTAACCATTCTGTCTGTGAAGCAGAGCTGGAAAACTCTCTAAATTTGTCTTGTCCCTAGATTTTTCCCTAAATATTCCTGCTATTTTAGACAGAAGATCCAGTAGCAAATCTGTCCTAGCGCCATTTAAGTTGTCCATGGCCGTTGCTGTCTGTGGAGGGGGTCTAGGATGGGCAGCATTTTGCCCCAGATGAGTAATTATCTCAAGATACACATAGATGTCAGTAAGAAATAAAACCTTGAACTAAGGTTATTTGTGATTATAAACCCAAGACGAACACAGGGTCACTAGCACAAGTGCCTTTTAGCTCAGATGTACTCTCTCTGGTCAGCAGTACAGACTTTGTAAAACTGGACACAAGAATGTCACAGTCTAAATATTCTCCCAGTTGATTAAAGCCAATCTGTTAATATATCTTGTGGGGTACATACTGACTGTATTTTATTAGTTTGTGTAACATGGTCTTGAGGCAAACTCTATCTACTCAATATTTCCTGTTCTTGTGCGTTTCATACTTAAAATATTTGATTCTTTCATTTTCCCATGTCTTTTGCATTTTTGCCCAGTGTGACTTTCAAGTGTTTCTAGGAATATTTTGCCAATCTATCTTGTTATATTAGTGTTTTTGCTTTTCTTTTGTGAAATTAATATGTCAAAGGAATTTTGTTTGGATTATGAGGATGCAAGCATTTGTTGTGAGATCGGGTATTAAGCTATCTGCTTTAATAGGTGATTAGATACCACAGGAAATATGACTGGAGTAACTAAGAGCTTGTTAGCAGCCAGGAAAAGCTAGCATAAAGGCTTTGTCATGATGGTTTTTCACTGCTTCATAGAAGCATCCTGTATGGACTTGATACCCTGTTTCTGGCTGCAGCGTGATCAGGAGTCAGTGATACATATTCTATTCAAAGAAGATATTCATTAGTTTGATTGAAATGCTAAGTCCTTTGAGACCTCAGCCTCACACTTGTGTACGGACAGAAGAAAATGACTGCTTGTGTTAAGTAATTCATAGTTCTGGGGAAGCTGCCTCTGCTGTTGGAGCCAGCAGACAGAAGTGTTCCAGTAACCTGTACTGCCTGTGATTCTTATACAAATGAGCTTTGGGGTTTGGGGGTTTTTGTGCAGGGCTGGGGGCTCAGTGATTGTGTTTTACCAAGCAAATGCACTGTACTATTAAGAAAATGAACCCTTGAAGAAAGCTGAAACATGAGCACATGTTGAAAAGCTGATCACTGCCCGGAGGGACAGCAGCCACAGCAGGGGAGCAGCAGGCAGGCAGGCAGCATCATTCAGCTGCTTTCCAACACACAACTGACCTAGTTTCCCCTATTGGGACAGGCAAAGCTGGGCTGATGTGAACCTTGGGCCAATGTGGGTTACTCGTGGGAAGCAGGCCCTGCAGTGTTCCTTCTCAGGCTTACCAACACAGCTACAGCTGCAATTTTATGCTTGCAATGCCTAGGTCCTTGCCAGAGCATCTAATCCTTTCTCCTGTTTTGCCTTCTGGGCATAAAGGGGTGGGGTTTTGGCTGTATACAGGCTTTTCCTAAAGAATTTTATGGGACAAATAAAGAATTCTATGGGGCAAAAGGCAGCTACTGTTCCTATAGCAAATTCTATGGACTTTGGAAGGGCCTAAGTGTTCTTTGTCAGGGTAAGAATGGCCAGTTACTAGCCCACCCTTCACCAGTCTCTGGGTATTCAGTACTTGTCCACTTGGGGCATTTCATTCAAAACTTATAGAAATCGTTTTGCCTTTTCATAATCTTCATTCTGTGTCATTTTAAACTACCTGACATTTCATGTCAGTAAAATTCTAAGTTTAGTGGAGAAGGGATGGTATTTCATCTGCAATAAGGGAACAAGTTAATTAAAACTGAGATTTTCAGTGAATCTGAAAATCAGGGAAGTAAAGTAGGTCTCCTAACCTTGCTGAGTTGCAGTAAGACTTGGGCATTTTAGTTTTAAAATCCCAGCCTAAAAATACATTCATATGACCTCTGAGAGACTGCCTAAAGCCAGTGGTAAGAATTTATCTTGGCAGATAACCAATATCTTCCTGTAGTATGAAGGAAACTTGCTCTTCTCTGAGCTTAATGTTAATTCAGGTAAGGAACTGAAAGAAAAATGTAGGAGAATACAAAGATTTAAAATTACTTTAGCTGTAAGGAAATACTTTTAGTGAGAAAATATGTTTAACTGCAGGTGAGTTAATCATGTTCCTTGTATTACTGCTAAGAAAGCTATTTCTTTTGAGTTTGACGTAACATGCAGCTGTTATATACAGTTACTGCCTGCAGTAACAACTGCAGTTGCCCAAGATTTTTAAAACAATTTTTCACTGGAATATTTATGAGGCTGGGGAGAGGTGAACTAGTTCTGAGAATATTTACTTGCATCAAAAGTTTCTACTGTAAGCCTAAGGCAGCGTCCCATTGAAAAAAGAACAAAAAGTGACTTTAGCTTTTGTGTTAGTTCCAGTTTCTATGCTTTGTGATTCCTTTGGATGTTCTGAGGTTTCTGCTCTCTCTTGCACTTTTTGGGAAAAAATGCTGTAAATGAAAAGGGAGTATTTTAAAATTCACTGCAGTTTTCACAGGAACGGAGAACCATTTTTTGTCTAAGAGTGTACTGAAAATATGCATGACCCAAGTCTACCTTAGGTGATGTGTTAGGAGACTTCTCTCTTCAGGTACTCATTATTTCAAACCCCAAAATGTGGTATCTTGTGTGTATTTATCTATGTATTTTGGATAATTTGTTCAGGTACTCAAATGCTTGTTTTAACATGATAATGTATTTATATTATTTACAGCCTTGCTGAATTTATAGCTCCATTGAGACCTAAGATGTGCATAAATTATTGTCAGAAAATCTAATACTCTGTGTTGTAGGATGACCATTTGGTATTCACCTGTGAATTACTTGAAATATTTCACAGTGTTGTTTGTACACCCACCCACAAGTGTGAAAATTAATTTCATAGTTAATTTGGGAATCTATTTGGTCTCTTTACAGCAGATGTCTTGGCTTTCAGAGCTTTCATTGTAATGCCTGTGCTACATAAATACATTTTTTTCCTTCTCTCCTCAGAAATTTTTCCAAGAGATTCCAGTTTAAAAGACAAGTTCATAAAACATTTTACAGGTAAGGCACCTGCTTGCTCTTAATTTTCCTATGTGTGCATGTTCTAAGTAGCCATTAGTCACACCATTAGTTTTTTTGAAGCTCAGCACCAAGTTTAACATTTTTGAAGTTACATGTGCATGTTTGAGGACTAGAAATTTTTGAAGAACTCTAGTTGCATTGAGGTTTGAGTCTCCCACTGAATAATCTAGACTAAAATAACTTTCAAAACATGGTAAGTTAAAACATTGTTTAAAACCTGTTCTTTAAGCTTTATCATCCTATTGTTGCTTTCCATATTTATTTTTGCATTCACTAATTTAAAAACTTTTCAATGGACTGTACAGATCTTTCAGAAACAGACCTATGTGGCTGAGTAAATTTTCACTATATCAGGAAAGTTTTTCATCCGTCTCATGATGTATACGTGTGGATTCTTATTAGAACGATGGAAACAAATAGAACAAGGAAGGATTAAATCAGGGTAAATGGAAAAGAAAGATAATTTGATATTTCAAGTATGAAAGTTTATGATGATTACAGTCAACTACTTGAAAACTGAGGTGGACTTGTATAATTAATTTACCTTTGGGCATCTCTTTTGTAACTACCGGGAAAAATATTGTACCCTCTGAATATGTGCAATAGCAATTACCAATGGCAAGATGCTGTCACTGAATCTTTACTCTCCAGTTCTGTAATTCATGAAAGTGAAGGTCGCAAAGTATGAGACTGCTAATCTGTTGGTGATTTTCAAGGTTATTTGGATGAGTGAAACTAAAAGCTAGAGAAATAGTTGTTGGTAGGAGCGTGAAAAAGAGAACTGGAAATAATTATGTGTTTCCTCTTTGCTGGAAATTTTAGGCAGTCCTTGGCAAGAAAGGAAGAAATTTGTTGTCTCTTTTGCATGGAGGAAGTGTACTCAAACCTTTAAGATAAGGGCAACTTTAAAGATCTTTCTGCCAATGGCTAACTTACTGCAACCTAACAGCATCTACAGGAAATGTGCCACAGCCAGATGACCCTTGATCCTTGCACTAAACAAGAATAATTACGAACCTGACCATTTTCAGTCCATATCAGAAAGCAATGAACATAGAGGTTTGAACTGTGCTATGCTATGTAGCTCAGGAATACTGAATATTCCTCTCCTGGGGAGGACAGACAAGAAAGATGTGTTTATGTTAGCACCTAATCCATTTCCTTTTCATTTTTAACTTTGGAAACTCCTCAGCTACCATAAAAAGTTCAACATAAGAATCTGGGGAAGCTAAATAATGAATACAGAGTGAGTTTCATTACTCAAAACCAGTGAAAAACAACCATGAGTGTTACAGAAGATATTTTGATAGTACTAAATCATAGAAAAGAAAAAAGAAAAAATTACCTAAAGGCCTGTCTCTGGAGCCATTCACTAAAGTCTTTTTCTGCATGAGTAGTTGCCATCAAAATTGCTGAAATGACTTGACAAACATTAATAAGAATTAATAAGGAAAGCAGGTTCATTCCAAAATGCTGGAAGTTGTTTTGTTGGCTCAGAATTTCTGCCTAGAATGGCTGCTCAGGATTTTCACATTTCCTTCCTTCCTTCCTTCCTTCCTTCCTCCCACACTTACTTCCTTTCTCCCACACTTCCTTCCTTCCACACTTCCTTCCTTCCACACTTCCTTCCTTCCTCATTACCTTCCTTCCTTCCTTCCTCTCCTCCTCTCTTCCTCCCTTCCTTCCTTCCTTTCTTCCTTCCTTCCTTCCTTCCTTTCCTTTCCCTTCCTGTCTGCCTGTTATTTCTTTTTCACAGCTTAATTAGATGTGTAATCTGTAGGTGTTTTCTGAAATGCAGTCTAACTTTGGGTTTCTTTATTCTGTTCCAATTGTAGTCCTTTTTCTAGCAACCTTCATTAATTAAACTGTTTGACTATAGTCCTTACTAGTCAAGAACCTCTTAAACTAATGAATTTGTGAAAAAGAGGAGAGAAGGTGAATTCAGCATTATCTTTACAGTTTTGGGGTTAAGAAAATTACTGCATGCTTCTTGTATGCCAAGTATAGTAGACACATTTTAAAGCCAAATAAGAGCCATATGTAGCAGTCCTCTACTATAGGAAAAATGATAAATAATCTTGTGAGTCATAAAGCAATCTATCAATTTAGCTTGAAAAGCCAGCTGACACAGAGTGCTCTGTAAGGCACAAATAAAATTAACAGCCTATTTTTGATGACAGGGAAGAGAGCTAGAAAACCATATATTATCTGAAGGAACATGGAATTTATTTATGACAAAAGCCAATGTTGTCTCCATATATGCTGGATAATTTCAAATTACATACCTTTTCTCAAGCCTAACTACTCAGATAAAAAATGTCAATAATATTCCAATTCAAAGTTGCAAAGGCTGCTATTTCCTTTTATTGAAAAGATTATTTGTACTGAAAAAAAATGTAATTAAGTCCATGTACTGCTGTAAAATATATCTAATCTTCAAGCATGTTCACTGCCATAGAGAGGAATCTTCTCTTGAGCTCATGGCAGTTTGGCTTCACTATCCAGAGACAATTGGCTTGGTATATTTTACCAGGCTGATGAACCACCTTTCAAGTTGTGAATGCTATCTTCCTCTGACAGGAAATTTAGCCAACATGGTGTGCTGGATTTAGATTTAAATATAGTCTTATTCAGTTAATGGCAATTTATGTCAATATTTTCTGTCCAGATCACTGGATCAGCTGTCAGTGATAGTATTGCTAAGCAGGTTACATGATGCAAATATTACATTTTTGCTCTCGTTTTCAACTTGGATGTAATCAGTAATAGTTTCCAGGTTCATCAACAATTATGGAAGGGCTCTCTTTGGCAACTTGTTACCTTTGAGCCATGTTTTCATAGAATCATAGAACCATAGAAGGTTTTGGTTAGAAGGGACCCTAAAGATCATCTAGTTACAACCCCCTTGTAACGAGCAGGGACACCTTTCTTATCAAATATTAATGTAGGCAGATGACACTGTATATCCAGAGAAGGGAGCAGCACACTGTACACTGGGCACACAGGGATTTGCCTCACCCAAAAGACGAAACACATCCTGCCCTCTGCACATTTGCATCCTTTTTTACTAGGATTATTTTAACAGGAGATCAGGTTCCTAGATGTTACTCAGCTGTCAGGTTTTTTTTCCCTCAACACCCACACTGTATATTAAGAACTTCATAAACCATCTATGAGCAAATTAGAAGCATTAGTACATGAAAGTACTTCATCTTTCCAGGGATTAGAAACTTATATTTACTTAAAATGTTGCTTTTATTTATCTTTAGAAATAATATCTGCATTCCAGATGCATTATTCCTTCTACATTAGACTACTGACAACTGCTGAGGAAACTAAATTCTATTGTAGTTGCACTGTTCTGTTTTTCACCATATGAGAAATTTTACTGTCAATTCTGAATTACTGGAATTTCAAGGCTAAGCCAGCCCATCATTTCCACAGGTCATTTTTCTGTTTTTCATAGCATCAGCATAAAGACATAGCAATAGTATTTCTTTATGTTATTTCAGTAGCACTTTTGTAGTTGTCTTGCATCGTAAATGTTTAAGGTATAGTAAAAGACTTAATGCAATTTTAGCCAAGAAAAAATGAACTTAATTCTATGTGTTGTCATCATCCATTGAAGCTGCAGAGCAGTGACACTGAGAGCTTGTGGTTAATTTCTGCTTACTTTCAAACAGGGCCAGTCACATTTTCATCAGAGTGTAGCAAGCACTTTCATCGACTGTATCACAACACAAGAGACTGCTCAACGCCAACCTGTAAGTAGTAAAGTACCTTAAAATGTTAGGTGTGATACTTGTTTAAAATCAACCCACTTTTCCTGCTGTGTCTGATGTGCTGGTCCTTGTGTAACAGTTGCTCTTTACCACTGTATTACAAAATATGCCCAAGGTTTAATATATCAAGATTTTCTGTTAATGCACTTGCTGTCAGCTGCATATCATAGAGTTCCTGCAAAGCAACATGGAAATAAATGAAATGAAAACTACACTGAATAAACATTAGGGCATGCTTATGCAGAGGGTGGAAATGAAACCATATTCTCCTTCCTGCTCTATTTGGTTTTACTTATTAACTTGTTCAATAAGAGAAAATCTGAACCTTCTCTTAATGGCCAATGGTGTGGTTATATCTTGGGGTTTTAGTATATTTCAGTTTGTAATGACAATTTTCTATTATATGCCCATTGCTAACATGAAATGAATTAATTCATAATTTCTGTTACTGATACTTTAATTTCTTATCAAATAGCATTCCTCTGTGAGATCTGCAGGGTTTGCTTTAACACAGCCTGAATGTTATTTGGTCAGAGAGACTGAAAAATTTAAGTGTTCTAAGATGTTATTGAATAGATAAAACAAACGAACAAGAAACTCTAAGCAAAATGAAAATCCCTTAAAAAGATCCCTTAAAAAATCCCTTAAAACTTCAGCATTCTCTAATGCAATAGACAATTCTATTAAAGTGAGTGGAAAATAAGCAATATCATTTAACTAGAAAAGGTGAATCTCATTAGTGGTGTGTAAGCACAAACTATGGACCATGATAGTTTGGAAGCTTTCCAAGATTTAACATGAAGAAACAGTTATAATTTTTGACTGCATCACTTAGAAAGATGGTAAGCACTTTGTCAGCAGCTGAGATGCTCTCTCACCGCAGCTCAGCACCTCAGAGGATCTAGCTATTGAAAGGGGACAGAGCAGCCCTCATCTCCGTCTGTCTTTACACTTATCAGAAACTGGAATGTAGAAATTCATGGCTGAACCTCAGAAGATATACATACAGCTTTCTAAGTAGACATATGAGTAGGCTAGGCATGTATCTATTACATGCTGCATAACAAAAATACCGTGCATGTTGTGTGTTGCATGCCTGGATACATGGATCCAGAGTACATGAATATTGTTTGGATTCTCCTGTATTGCCTGAGTGCTTCCCTTTATTTATCATGAAATGCAGTCATATCATTTATCTTCTAACTAAATAGCTTTTCTTAAAAGCAAGACTGTGATTAGGATGGTGTGAAGACTTACCTTTAAGTTCAAATACCAAAACAAAATGTAAAATAAAAAATGAGATTAAAACCAAATCAGGGTTGTTTTTCTCCTTTGCATTAACCAAACTCAAGGCAGACAATGAGTTACATTCCACCTGAAATGTCTGTTGTTCTAAAAAGGAGAGCTAAATCTTCAGAATTGTCTCCACCTTATGCAACACTCAGGGTTTAGAGTTGCTATCAAGGCTGATCATAGCCAAGATATTTTCCTATCTCTTTAGAGGGGATTGGTGTTTTCTTTCATGGACACCTTAGTCACGGTAGGATGTCTGAAGATGAGTTATTTCCTCTCCTCCTGACATGGTTATATACTGTACGAGTATTAACTGAAGAACTGAAACCAGGCTAGCGTTCAGTCTCTTGCTGTTCGGCACAATTTATATTAAGTTTTATTAAAATACTTATCAAGCAAGAGAAGAAAATCTCACCTAAGTATTTCTTATTACCAAATAGATAGATCTTTCCATCAGAAATGATGACGGTGGCTCAGGGTTCACTTGAACCAAGGGGCCATTTGAACCAAGGACACCAGGGAGAGGGATTGGAAGTGGAACATTAGTATCTCTAGTCTGATGATTAGAAGATGTACTTAGATATGGAAAATGCTGTTGTCCATTAATGTTAATACTAAGTGGAGCAATAAAAAGTTTGAAACAGCCTGACCTCAAACTATGTCATACTCTGCTGGTTAGAATAGCCTCCCAGTTAATGAGTTAAATTCCTTCAGGTAAAACTGGGAGCTGAACCTGGTCTTCCACATCTTAGGAGGAAACTACCTGGTAGAAATTTAATTGCTACCGTCACTTACATTTCCTCTAGAGCCCTGGCTATTGTAAGGTAAAACCTAATTCTGCATTTGCACACATACTTTCATGATTTTCCATCAGGTAACACTTTCACTGGTGTCTGATATTCTAGTACAAATTTTGTATTTAATTGTATGAATTTTTCAGGGTATCTGGCAACTGATTTTTGCTGTGGGTAATTTTGTTTTATAGATTACAAAAGGTGTGCAAGGTTGCTAACGAGATTAGCAATGAGCCCTTTGTGTACACAGTCCTAGGATGTTTGCTATGTAAGTATCATTTTCCCCACTCATTCTCTTATTTGTTGAGTGGTCTAGTGGTTTACTTCACACTGGTATCTTGTTACTAGGTTAGCATGCAAAAATGTGGTTATAACAGAGAGCATCAGCTTGCAGCTTTGGCATTGCAGGACTAACTGGTTCCTCATGGAAATAGAAGCACAGATACCTCTGGCAGGCCCACTGTAATTTCCTGCAAGTCACTTGTGGCACCACAGTCCATGATTATGCACTGGGTGGCCTCTTACTGTTCAAAATGTCAAGCAGCCTTGACATTGAAAACAAAATGCCTGAGGACTTCATCAACACATTTATTTCAGGCCATTCAGGAGAGGGCTTTGTTGTTAATCCATGGAAGGAACAGAATGTCTTGGTCTCAGGTCTGCCAGTGCAATCTTCATAGATAACCTGTTACTTCATTCATCTTTGGGACCCCTTTCCATTCCAAAATTGTCTACTGAGAATTTCTCTGAAGTTAATACCAGTTTGTGGTCATGGAAGGAAACTGAACATAAAGATGTGACAAAGCTAAAGGCTTCACATAACAGTCTGTGAAAGGAACCAGTCCATTCTTGTTTATGAATAGCATGTTAAATGTGTTAATTAAACAGCATTGTCACCAATAAAAGGAACATGTCCAAGTGAGCTGTTTTCTCCAGTTGTTGGAATATCAGTAAGATGGTTACACTTGCAACAGTTAATTTGAAAAGCCACACTGGCTATTATTGACCCATAAAATGTGTAAAATCAGTGAATTTAGTATATTTACATTTCTTTAAAAATGGTTTTTCACCACCTCCTCCTGACAAATTCTGCAAGCTGGGAGTTTGGGGGAGTTGTGCTTCTTCCTGCATCAAGACTTCAATTCATACTAATCAAGAATAAGAAAGGAAGAGTAGGATATGAGTCAGTGTTAGCTGATTTGATTTCCAAGTGGAGGTGGGATTCATTTTGGTTGCTGTGAGAAAATGCTTTGAAGAATATAGCAATATTTCAGTGCTGAGAAGAAATGACATCATTTCTTTCTCTTCCTCTTTTCTTAGCTGTTTTCAGTTTGTCCTCTTGCCTTCCAGGTCTTATAGATGGCTTTGAATATATCAAGGGCACTGAAACAGAGACTGACTAGGGATCTCATTACTTTGCCTGGGTCTTCTTTTCATACTAAAGGCAGGAATCAATTTCTGAGTGTCCAATTTTAAGAAAACAATTTTTTGTGGTGCCTGAATTACAGTTTGTTGGTGTCTTGTTTCAAGTATCAACTTTCTCAAACATCCCCAAACTCTCATTCTCTGCACTTTTGCCTATTTAGTCTGTGATTTTCCCTTGTCTGTATCTGTTTACACCTCTGGGTTTCACGTATTAGGGATTTCAGAAAGATTTCTGAGTGTCACAATACTTTTTTTCTCTTTTTCTTTCAAGAGAATGAGTCAAAGATCTGCATACATATCCACAGTGCATAAGCATCTATCTCATCCTATTTCCATCTTTAAAATACAAAAGGATCAAAAGTTGCTATGATTTGAAAAGCCAGGTGTTTTAATTTGCCTGCCAAAAATATACTCAAAGACATGACAGGTGGGGAAGGGAGGTTTTAAATGTTAACAATTGTTCACTTAAAGCAGTATCTAGGCTGGCTTTCTCTCCACTTAGTTAGAAACAGAGAAAACATTATAGGAAAAAGTAGAGGTATGATCTGAGTGTTACCCAGCTGTCTCTGTGCTCCCTCATCCCATTCCTCCACCAAATAGAGTGGATAGTTTCCATTATAAATAATTCAGCCTCAAATCTTCATATCCAGTGCTTTCTGGAATGGAAACATTTTTCTGAGAAGGAAGAAGGGTGGCAGGAGTTGCTCTCTCTTCTCTTCAAACAGACAATGCAGTGAACGAATGACACATGTTCATCTCTCAATAACACCACATTCCTAGCATGATTCTGTGATTGCTTCTACTCCATCTTTTGGCAGAGAGGATCTGTTTTCCTCACCTCCCTCACACTAGCGTAGAGAGGACAGGGTCACAGATCCTGTTACCTGTAAGAGAATTTGTCTTTGCTTTAACATCTGAGAGTCTTGGAGGTTCTTGGTTGCCTTGAAGCAAGAGGCTCTCTCACTCAAAGAACTGACAGCTATTTTTAAGCATTTCTCCTGCCTATACTAAAATAGGCTACATTTTCCTCATAAAAAAAGAACTGCAGTGCTCTTATGCGATTTTCCTCCCTCGCCTGTAAATACCCAGATACAAGAAGGAGACATGGTCTTCTCCTCTTCGAAATGAAGTTTTTCCTGGGGAAAGTCAATCATCTTCCCACAGGGTCTGGTAGTGCAACCCGTGGCGGGATGTTTCAGCACCATGGAGAGGAGAAGCAGCCGCCGGGGTGGCTCCGGGCGCATGCTGCGGGGTGCTCACTGTCCTTACAGCTTTTAGAGCTTTGGGTGTTTGGTTGGGTTTTTTTCTCTTAATTTAGATCCTTGCAAATGGAAATAAAGCATTTGATGAAACCCAGACCGTAGAAATCTAGGTGACTATGTGTGTGGGAAACTTCGCCGCAAGATGCAGCAGTGTGGACCACTGTGTGTTCAATCTCTTAGCATCGACGATGAGGATTTGCCATGGCAAAATTCATTAGTGTTCAGAGGAGGGCAAGACCCACTGGCATTCTGGAGTTAATCTTTTTATGCAATCTGCAGGAAACTGTGATTTATAAACACAATTATACTAAGCAGTCTGCCTCTGTGGTTTGAAACTAGTTATAAAATGGTATGTCTTTTTGTTTTGCAGACTTTCTACCAAGGAGAGAAAATTCTGATTTGCCAAGAAAGTGCCTTGAAATCTTCAAAAATGGAGAAAACATCTTTTACCTTTTTGATTTACAACATTTTGTTACTAGATGCATTTTATTTTCATATATTTGTTGGACATTCCATATTTCTGTGAAACATTATTTTATTTTGTAAATTTGTTGCCTATAGTTCAGATAAGCCAATTATTTAAATACATTGTATATAAAGAATACTAATGATATACTGATTAAATGTTATAACCATATGCAGGGAGTTGGTAAAAGTTTGCTGTTTCTCTTGTTCCATTGTATTTACATTGTTCTGCTCAGGCTCTTACTTTCATTATTTGCACTAACTTGAAATGCAGAAGTCTATGTAACTGAAATCTGAATAAGCTGTAAGTGGGGAAGTTTTACTTGCCATGGAAGATATTTTATATTATGAAGCTTTGTTAATATATACATATATATTATTGCGCATCAGAAAAAAAATTGCTCAGAAATGCACCTTGCTTTCAGGAACATTTGTATGACTATTCTGGACTTTCATCAGTTACATTTGTACTGGCACTTATGGAAAGAGTTGCAAATAATGTAAATATAAAGACTGGAAAACTGCAATGCAGTTTTGGTGGAATAAAGAACATAAAAATAAATATTTTACAGGAGAGGTTATTTAAGTTTATTAAGAGGTCACTTATTTAAAGTATAAATTTAATCTATATGGTGAACTTGAAATAGTTTTCCAATGAGAACTTCAAACTTGTGGGTTTATTATTTTACAGTGATTCATTTTCAAGTGGTAAATTTTATTCAGCTATTTATTCTTCAGCTGAATGAGGTGCAAACAAAAATGCATCATGCACCCACTGTGAACAACAGAAGCCATCTGTGAGGATGAAAAGAGGGTAATGAAATAGTCCAGTAGAAGAGAAAATGCTTTAAAGCATAATATCATAAAACCAAGGGGTATAATGAATGAATTTGGCTGGTGACACATCAATCTTAACTATTTGGGAAGAATCCAAAGCACTGCTGCATATTCTTTATTTAAAATCGAATTGTATTGGTAACATTTGTTTTGCATTTGTCTCAGCTCTTTTATTGCAAGCTTATATGATTGCTTTGCAAAGAACCTAGTATGAAGGGAGGTTTTTATGGTCAGGCCTAGAGTAATTGACAACACATATTGATTACTGTGCTCAAATTGCAGTTCTTGAGATCTACTGACCATTCAAGTTAATCCCTTCAGATTAGATAACTCTGTGCTTTCTGTCATTGTCGGTTTCATGAGCCCCTTAACTTTATGGCCAGCATTTTTCCATCTACAGAATAGCAGGAAAGCTCTGCCCTGGGATTCCGAGTAAAATAGCAAACAGCTGCTTTATTACCTAAAGGGGTTTCCTTTCTTCTTTCTATATTGTTCAGTGTGTTTCAGCCCCAAAGTTGTGCAGCATTCTCTGATGCACTAGGCAGTACAACCCACAAATTTTGCAGATACTATCATGTTCTGTTCAGGCAAGAATTTATTACAGCACTTGTTTCTAACCAGCTCCTTAGCCATGGCTGTTGAAGTAATTGCTCCCTCTGTAGTTCTGGCAAGAAGGTTGTCCTGTGTTGGTTTTATTTGTTATTAACAGGATTGGTTTTCAAACCTTTGATCAACATGTTCTTTCAGTAAGAACAAAGTTTTCAAATCTCCCTCTAAACCATGTTAGAGGCAGTATTCACACTGAAAGTACAGTAGCATATGGGAAATCGTAGTGGCTGAAAGGTGAGATGGATAACCATGTTTCTCTCTGAGTAATATACTTTATAGAAGGATTATTGCCCAAAACACTTCAGCCTGAAGAGACAGGATGAGGCTCAGGACAAACAATCAGAGGCTCCAAGAAAAGCCTTTGTCTTTAGACCTGATTTTATATTTCCACTCTGGTTTGCTTTCTTCTCAATTTAAAAAAAACCCCAACATTCTTGTTGCTCTCCTAAATGGGCTGGAAACAAGGAAAGTAGAAGCAGAAAAAGTGTGGGTTTGATTTTGTTTGGGTTTTTATGTTTGTTTTCTGAAAATGACTGTGATACAATGTGATACAATTTCTCCAATGAGAAAATCTAATTTGGATTATTTTATACATTTTTAGGCTCAAATCTAGTGTGCTAAATCAAAAGCTTCACTTTCATAAAAATAAAGACATCTTTCTATTGAGAAGAAAAGTTTCAACTCCCTGTCTTTGAAAAGATCCATGGATGTTTCAAAGATGCTAAGCAGAGATTAGTATGATAAGTTAAAAATGTTGATGGAGGAAAAAAGTGCATGAAATTAATAAGAGGATAAACCCACATAGTTCTTTTTTCTCAGAAGTCAAATATCTTAGATTTATTTTTTTTTCTGAAGGTAAATTATTCTTTGAGACAGCTGTGGAATGGATTGCTTTTTTCTGTTTGTCCCCTTTTGGATGCTCAGTGTGCCCTGGACAGCTGGAAATAAACCCAGCTTTTCTTTACAATCCCTCAACACATTTATTTGTCTCTATTCTTCATCGTAGTTTTTAGATGCAGGGCTACTAAAGTTAGTAGTACAAAAATCACAAAGTAGCATAGCACAGTCACTTTACTATTCAACCTGAAACATAAGTTGTGTTCCTTTTGCTATGAAATTTGTTAACAGTCCTGCATTTTTGGAACCAAGTTTAGAGGGTAGTTATTTAGAAAGACAGTAAAGAACCAATGCCATAGAAGCTGAGAGAAGATGACACACTTTTAAGTAAGCTGTGGGTTTTCTGTCACACTTCACATGCAATTGTTTTCTCTTCCAGATTTCTTTTGATTTTTTCCCATGTGATTAAATCAAAAGATGTTTTAGCTTCAGAACTAAGTCCAATTACGGCTTTCCCCATAACCTTGTGTGTTCAAAATTTATGTCCAATTTCTGCCTTGGTGGAGAATATTCGATAGGGACAGAGCCAACAGCTACAGTAGTGCCTCATCCCTATTTTTCATGCCAGCTAACTCATCACCTTTCTCAAACAATTTCATTGTTTCAGACTTCTGAATTTCTAAAGAAAACCACTGTAGGCAAATAATATTGCTGCTCTGGCATATTACAGAGGGAGTCACAAGGCCACCAGCAATTTAACCTGGGTCTGTGTGCATAGAGACTACAAAGCAAAGTTCAACTTTCTCTCTTTATTGCTGAGACTATCTTAATTTTTTATTACAACACTGTGGAAGGCGTCCTAGTCTGTGTTTTGGGTGCTATGCAAATGCAGGACAGAGATCCTGTTCTCATCTCAGAGAGGTTAAAGCCAGGGAGTAAAACAGTGTGAGAAAAGTGTACATGAAAACAATGACCTTCTAATGATCAGTGAGGTGGATAATGACTCCACTGTGAGCAGTCTAAATGCATCACTTAAGAGATTTGACAGCAGACAGCAAGACAGCCAAGCAGAGCTTTTTGAGGAACTCTTCCTGTGATGAGGGCTCTCATTATAGAGGGCACTGTTGAAAGCTTTTCTAAAAAAAACCAACTCCAAAACCCCAACTCTAAACCCACATAGACAATAAGCGATGGTATAGAAACCTTATAAGTGTCTGAAACTGAATATTCAACATGGAATGATACATTGGCTTTAAAATTTCAGCATGGAAGACCTTGAAAATGAGAATAAGAAAAAATATGGAAAACATTAACTGTCAGAATCACCTTGGAGACAGGCCTTGGTCACCTATCGTGAAGACCAGTAAAAGTGATGGTGGAGTAACTGAGATGTAAAATAACAGCATGAATATACACTCAGATCATATCTAAAACATTATGCAAATGGATATATTATTTTTTAGCTGCAGGGGGAAATGGATGAAGTTGAGAGTTGCTGATCAGATAGACAAATATGGTGGGCACAGGAGATGTAGAAATCCTAATTATTTCAACCTGGCCAAAGAAAGCAGCCCCTCACAGACATTGCTTTCAACCCACCTGATCCTCATTCTCCACCACAGGATCTCTAATTCACCTGGGTCAGAAGCTTGTGTTGGTTGGCAGAAACAGAGACAGTACTCCAGACATGTCAGAACTCCCCAGTACAAGGTGGTTTGACATAAGACTCTGACCTGCAACAACTGGTTGGTGCAGAAGACTAGGAAGAGTGGCTGCCATGCTGAGAAAGAAAGTACCTACCTAACGTATGCCCCTCTGGTTTCACCATCTCATGGTCAGGGGCTACCTGCACTGGATGTGAGCTGGGAAAGATTACTGAGGAGAAACAAATGAGAAGTACAAATAAAAGAAGTGAGGGTAGACAGCACTTAATACTCTGGAATATGGGATTGAATTCCCTATGCTCCTATTTGCTGCTGGCCCACATTTCATTTCTTTTCTCCTCTGTTAGCCATATAATAACTGAACTTTACACCCAGTCTTGGATATTACCTCCTCACTGTCTTCTTGACTATGAAAGCCTTATCACCTGCTCATAGACAGGTATTTGAAAAAAAATAAATCAGATATAAGCTATTATCATTAAATGTCCACCAGAGGAAGAAAAGACTGCAAAAAATTTGTGAAGCTTTCAAGTACCTTCACTGTAAGAAAATAATTCTTAAATATTTTCACAGACAAATGTATACCATTTGATAGCATGAGTTTTGCTTTTTGGCCCAAGCATGTGTGTTTATTTCAACCATATCAGCTTCACTTTATCAGCCATGCAGAGTGTTATTAATGCAATTGCATTAGATAATGTAATGAGTGTAACTAATTTAGCTTTGGTGCTCATTTGTCCTTATCACTGCCATAATTCTATGGAAGTGCCGTAATTCTGCCCTTTGCTGTTGTAGATGATTCATTTGCTTACTTGCAGTATCAGAAAATTTCTGTGCCTTTCTATTAAAGACATTTCTTCTAGAAAGGATAGTGCTGTCATTGAAAATGCTGTCCAGTTTTACAGTGAATATGGTAATGTTTGCGTTTTATATATGAAGCAATGAGTACAAGGAATGATTGCTAACTCATTTACTACAAACATAACCGGTATCTTTATTTGAAATGTTCCCTGATGGGCATGCACACTTTCTTATGAGGCACATTTTGCAGTATTCTGTTCTCTGCAGTATGAACTCAATTTATCCCATTTGCCTTCCTTAGAACACTTTGTCTAAATAGTACATATATTAAATGTATAAATTTATGTAACTGATGCTCCTTTCATAGTAGCATTCACATTAGTTACAGCAGAGCAATAAACTTAGGTTTTCATGGAAATATTTCACTTCCACATCTCAGAAAATGTTGGCTCAAAGCCCATCATATGTGTGCATAGGATGTAATATGACTTTCCTCATATGCGTTGCTTTATGATTATCCACACTGAATTTATCATTTTCATCATTGCTGTCACTCAGTATCTTAAAGTCTGTTAGCAACCTTTTACAGGACAGCTTTCATCTTTGACACCCAGAGTGGATTCTTTTCATCAACAAAAATATTTAAGATTGATCAATTTTTGATCTTGTTTCATAAGAGAGGGCTAAGAAAGTGAACAAATTGCAGCCTTTCCTTTCTTTTCCATTTCAAAGCCTGCTTCTCCCAGTAAATGTGCCTCTGCCTTACAATCTTCTTCCTGTTCTATCTAGGAGATATGAGGAGA